TTAAAACATGTCAAAATGCCTTGTAACATAACCAATAGCCTTGTGGTAAATCCTAGATCCATCTAAAAATAGTTTGGGGGTTTGTAACATATCAAAAATGACACAAATAAGAGTTTACGGCCTAGGCACATAACCTTTGGCCGTAAACTCATAAAACCATGTCAAATGATGCCCCTAATTCACCCCAAAGGCTTGGAAAATTTTCTAGAATCACATGTGATTGTTTTAAGTGCCATAAATTAATTATTCATGAACATATGTGAGTTTATGGCCAGAGTGTATACATCTGGGCCGTAAACTCATAAATTGATGTTATATGGTGCCCAAAATTGATACCAAGCCTTGGAAAATTAATTTGAATCACATGTGATTGTCCCTTATACCTCAAAATCAATTATTCTTGACCATAGTAGAGTTTATGGCCGTAAACTCCATGTTTAGGGTCGTAAACTCCCATTTAAGTGGTATAATTTCATTTAATCCATTCCAAGGCATTTTAGTAAGTCATTCCAACAATCCCCAAGTCTAAATAAGTCATTAAACCCTCAAAACCACACCCACATGAGTTCACGGCCGTGAACTCATGTATGTATGTGTTATATGCTTGTAAGCTCACTTAAATGTTTACTCTTGGGGAGTAAACTCAATTCCCAAGTCCCTAATACGAATACAAGTCCGTAGATGTCACCCGGGTCACTCCAAACGCTCGTTTTGAGGTGTTTAACCTCGTTGGAGTGTAATGTTCCATATAATTAGTGAATGTATCCCTAATTGAATATATATGGACATTATTTCATTTTACATAGGGACATCGCGAGTAATCAAGCCCCGTACCCACGTTTAGTGTCCGGAACCATCGCATTCCCGAGTCTGGTGAGTTCATACCCCTACCCTTTTTCACTGTTTTCACTGTTTTCAGGGGCGGAACACAAGCAAGGTACAAGGGTTTTCTTGTACTCAAAACATGTTTTCAAATGTGTGTTTCACATTTTATATGCTTCTAACACTGATTACTACAACTGATAACCGTTTGAACATGCAGATTACGTAAACATATATTTGTGAAATGGGTTTTAAACTGTTATGTTTTACATGTATTTCACAAATGGTTTTCCATATGTTATCAGCTAAAAGCGTGAGATTAGATCATTCGAATATAATACCTGTACACTGTTTGTCCTCGATAACACTCCACATAAATACGCGAGTGGAGGACTATCATATTATTACTAGTAAATTTGTTAATCCTGTATGATTGGAGACATGTCCTCGGCGAACACTCCACAGAGATACGCTAGTGGAGGACTACACCCGTAACCTGGCTGACTACCCCAAACCTGGCTACCCTAAACCTGGCTGCTAGCTACAGCCGAACCAAAATGGTTCAAGGGTGACGAAAGTCATAAGTATGTGGACTACTTATTGCCATAGGTTTAGTCCATTGTATGGTTATGGAACTCGAAATTAGGATAACAAAGATTTACTTATGGTAATAATGAACAACTTTATACAATTCACAAGATAACCAGTTCTCTAGTATACATCTTTCACATTGGAAACCAACATTCAGGAAAATATGGGACTTTCCTGGGGAAACATTGAACATAACCACATATTTGGAAAACATCTTTTACATATAGTAACTAACATTCAAGAAAGTATGGGACTTTCCTGGGAAACCTTGTACATAACCAGGTCTAACAAGAATACATCATTTACATACGGTAACCAACATTCAAGAATGTATGGGACTTTCCTAGGGAAACGTTTACATAACTAGAAAGGATAACAAACCGGATAACTGTACACCTTTCACAATTGATAACATACAAATCAGGAAAGTATGGGACTTTCCTGGGAATACATTGGTACATAACTCGAACAATATGTCAATCCAGATAACTTAACTATACATCTTTACAAGAGAAAACATGTTTTTCAGTGTACAACTTTTCTTTACATGTTTATAAACGATAACCAAATTTATTAAGAAAATATGGGATTTTCTTGGTGTGCATAACATTTCAGAAACAGAAAGGAAACCTGAACATTTTCACAAACAAAAACCGCTTATGAACTCACCAGCGTTGTGCTGATTTTCAAACCGCTTGTGTTCTCAGGTCAGCATTAGAACAAGTACCCAAAGATCCTTTTTGCTTGAAGACGGAGTACTCAGAAGACCCATTTCATTTTGTTCATATATATAGGCTATGTATCACAACTGTACAAACTTTACTTTTGAAACAACTGTAAAACTTTTCTTATGTAATGTAATGGTTGCTTTACTTTACTTACTATGTACATTAGATTTGATACTCAACGTGGAGTCAACCTCGAAAATGTTTCCACCTTCGGGTTTCGGGGTGTGACAAAATTCTCATGTAGTTGCTTTAATTGTGGGAGCCCTGACCATTTTGCTAGGGATTTCAAGGAAAAGAAAAAAGCCTAGAGTCCTAAAAACTATGAAGTTTTGTATAAGAAGCTGGTGATCCACGTGAAGATAGAGAAAATCTTTCTGTTGAAAGCCTTCATTGTAAAGCAAGAGGATCATGAAGAATGGGTGGATGAAGAGGAGACATCAGAAGATGAGGGGATGAACGTTAAGGATCTCATGACACCTATAAATGATTCCCATGATGGTATTTGTGATGCTCATTATTCTCACACTAGTAAAGGATTAAGTCCAAATCGAGATCAAACTTGCTACCTAGACATCCGAAGTTCTAGACACTTGACCGACTACAAGTCACTCCTAAAAAAATTTATAGAGAAGAATGATCCAATGGTGGCTTTCGGTGACAAAAGTGGAAGATATGTAACATGAATTTTGCAACTGTAGAATGTAGGACAATTAAGCTGAAGGATGTGTCCTTTTTAGAAGGACTAAAAGGCAACTTATCTCCATCAATCAACTTTGTGATGCTAGTTACAAATTTCTTTTCAACCGTCATGTGGGAAATGTGTTTGCTTCTGAAAAAAAAATTGTTCTTTCTATTCTCAGAGAGAATGATGTTTATATGGTTTGATTTGTTAGTTTTGACGCTGATAAATTTTTTTTATTTCATTCTTTGCTACTTCTAAAACTATGAACATAAGTTGCTACACTTTTAATTTATTTTTTGGTTTTTTTTTGCATTAAAATTTTGTTTTAATCTTTACCAGAGAAGTATACATTGTGAATACACTTTCTTTTTCTACTACATTTCCTACATGATCTTGTCTATCAATACTGACCTCTTCTGACTGATGTACTTTGATGGGATCAACCTGTCATTCCTTGAATGCATCACTCTCTTTGTGAATCCAATTGACGCTGACTCTGCATCTTTTCTTCAACGACAACTGCCCTCTAGCTGACGCTGATATTGGCATGTTGTTTTATGTCGGTGAGATCAGATGGGGGATAACTGTGATACTAACTGTTCTTATGGGCACATATCCCTTCTGTCTTGAACAACCTATTTATGTTTTAATGGGATGAGATGAAGTTTGGTGATCTAGCACGACTAATTTCCATAGACACTGTTACTACAACTTCATCACCTCAAAATTCCAAAGGCGTCTTCAACAATACAGTGATCCCACCGTCTCCTCCTTTACGGATCTCAATATACGGAACCTTTGATTTTTCTCTTTGTGACTCTCATAACTCAAAGGTTACAAACATTGGATCCCTCTAACTCATTGGTTACAAAGAGTTGTTCATGTTCTTCATTTTTTCTTGGTGAACATGAATCTTGGAATCAATCTGCAGAATCTCAACTTTTAAATGCATTCTCTCTCCTTGTTTACTATGAATTGTGTTATTGTGTAATATTGTTGATCTTGTTTGTTCCCTTTTATTGAAAAAAATTCAAGGGTAGATATCTCGGAAAATGGAAGTGCACTAATGACCATAAAATTCTAGGGATTTGTTGGAACGAGTTTTTATCACCTTTCTTAAAAAGCTACACATTTTTACCTGTTTCAACTATTTTCTTGTTTAACTAAGGATTTCATGTCCCTGAACTCCTAGTTTGAGGAATGACATGGTAGAATTATGAATTAACGGCGAGTCTTTGATTCTAGGTTGCAACTTACTCTATGATATGGATGTTTACTTCTTTTCGATGAGTTAAACTGTTTATGATTCATGCATATTTCACCTTAGAGTGACTGAAACAATCTATTCTTTCCTTTATTTTCATAATAGAGCTTGATGTTTCACTATGTAAAACCACACAATGATAAATGTTCAAAAGTATGTGATAATGGTTAGTCTATGTACCGTAGATTATCACATACACTAATCCATTCTTACCCTTACATTCTTCTTTAAAGTTTTATGATTAAGTATAATGTACCATACACTGATGAGAGCTTGACAAATTTGTGCTGATGGTTATATCATTGTCCATGATATATTATACACACCTATCCAATCTTGTCCTTTTTCTTCTAATAAAAGAGATTTATGATTCACCACACGACATGATACACTGATGAGATCTCAAAATATTATGTCATTGAATGCTAGTTTAAGCCCATGCTACCAGGAGACATCACAAACTAACTATATGATCATCATAATCTCATTTGTTGATCGCTTTAGCTGATGCTCATTGCCACTGATGACTAGTCTCACTGATGTAACTTCCTTGTCTTAACGGTAACTTTTTGGACATCTTCTAAAAGTATTCTTCATTATCTTAGGATTCGACATCTTTACGAAACATATATAGTCGCTTATGATCACGTAAAATGGAAGAAGCGTTTTGGGTATAATTTGGGGACTCTTCATTCTAGGTCATTTTTTAGAAGCAGTTCAAGCAATTAATATATATATATATATATATATATAATATATATATATATATATATATATATATATATATATATCTTAAATAGAGTCTAAACCATCATCTTCCTCAAAGATTTCACCTTGTCAAAGCCCTTGTTCGAGTTTTCTCCAAGCGCTAACGTCATTAAAGGTCCTCATGCTTATGTCATTCAATCCACTAATGTCGCGTTCTCGGATGAAATCCCAAAGCAGTTCGCAAACTCAGGAATTAAAGACTTTGTCGACTACGTCAAAAGTGGTCCTCTTCGATATGAATTTTTTGATTTCACAGAACCTCTCTACCCTAAACAAGTATGTGTGTTATACTATGCAAGCCCTGTTGATAATGTTGCTTGAACCATCACCGGAACCATTGGAGATGGTCAATATGGGTTACCATTGATGTGGAATCCTTTCGAACTGCTCTTCATCTTACTCAATTTGAATGTTACTCTAAAACACCCTCTTAAGAAAGCTTCAAATTTGTTCATGAAAAATTAGGGAATAACATTAAACTACTAGGTCTCACTCGTGATCTATACAAGAACACTCTTCGTTAATGTTTTAATGTAGGGTGGAAATACCTAGCACGGGTGATTGGAAAATGTCTTTGTTACAAGACTGGAAGTTTAGATCAATTGAATCTCTTTGATCAATTAACTGCATTACTTGAAAAAAGAAGCCATTGAATGTTCCTTATCCTCGTTGGCTTGGTCTTTTCTTGTATCAAAAAGAAGGTTATGTTGAAAGTCATGGAATTATTATTCCAATTCCTGTCCTTTCCTCGAAAATTATCTATGCTGCTCTATTGAAGGATCATTTGCCTTTTCCTACAAGGATGCAAATGTGGACTGAAAAACCCTATGTTATTGAATCGTCATACTTTGAAGAGGATAATAGCTCTGATGATGCTAGTGATGAAGAGAACAATGATGATTCTGGTGATGAAGAATATAATGATGAAGATTCAAAAGTTGGTAATAAAGAAGGGGCCGATCAGGAAGAAGGCAGTGATAAAAATGAAGAAGACTGAAAAACTGACATGGGAGATGACTTCACTCAGAAAATGAAATCTTCTCCAAGGTTGAACAAGAACATACAATTTTCAAGTATTTCTTCATCCTCTTCCTCTGTTGATGAATCTAAACATCGTGGATCAACCCCTCCTTTTTGGAGATAATACTAAGCCAATGATCCAGGATGAACCTTCTCCAAAACCATCTCCTGCTCCTCAAGCTAATGTCGTTCATAAAGCTGAAACGATCCCCCCTACGTCATCATCCATTATGATTGTTGCTCTTCATCAAGTTGACCAGGGATGTCACACCCCCAAACCAGAACGACATAAACATTCAGGTGCGGTGGACGCCATATTTAGTATCACAACAATTGAATATTAAAGAAAGTACACACCACTATAACATATATTTGAAAAGTTTACATGATTGTATCTATTACATGTTTAAAAGTCAAATACATCATGATGAATTCCAAAAGATGATGTTAATGCCAGAGCGTTAATCCCCAAAAGTAGTTGCTAACCCTGATTAGCGGTTTCCTAAGAATACAAGCTATTTCAAGAAAAAGTGTCAACAATTAAGTTGGTGATTTCATAAGTAGTGTTTTTAGAAAATGAATGCCATTCGAAAGTTCGTGTATGTTTTCCAGAAAATCCCTTATTTTCTATTAGATGTATGAAATGAGTATAAAAGATCGTTGTATAAACTGTATGTATTTGAACCAGGAAAATCCCTTATTTTCCTAAGGATGATGTTGTAAATCCTTATTGTTCAAAATGAATGTATTTCAACCAGGAAAATCCCTTATTTTCCTAAAAGTGAAATGCATTCTCAAATGGCCAAGACCGTAAGCTGTACGCAACTATGACATGCTCAAAATAATGATGTATAGTCTTATTATAAAACAACACTACAAGAAGATCATATTTGTAAATGAAAATTGATTGTAATAGTCACTTTCTCCGTGAAAACATAATACCATAATAATTGCCTATCTCGTGAGTTTTCATAATAGTACTATCATAATTTGCCTGTAGCGATGTTCTTCGGGCGTCAAAGTGAGATGACACTTGTCACCCCGAGGACTCTAGCTAACAATCAAGGGCATGCGATCATTAGTCCCGTATAGATCTATACACACTTGTCACGTTCTCCGGACGGGAGATTCTGGGTATAAAAGAAGACTTCTAGTGGTATCTTAATATGTATATTGAAGATGAATGACTCACAGATTCTCAACTATGTTTGTATTCTTGAAAATGATGATTTTGTATGTAATGATTTCCCTTTTTCCACAATATTAACAAAGGCATAAATAAGAGGTGTATGTTCTTGAGTGTATAAGAATGGTATACTAAAAATGGTTACCCTTGATATAAGATAAACACATAAATAAGCTTATACTATTTATAGCCATGTTTCACTCAGTACTAGAAAAACAGCCTTTTATGACTCACAATGCGTGTTGTAAAACGGTCAAACGATGCGCAAATGCACGTCAAGAAAGGACCTGTCATAACGAGATACGACGTGCTTTTGCACGTCGTCTGTGGATGACGCGCACTTACGACGCACATTTATGACACGCAATGCGTGTCAGTAAAACCTATGTCAAGAAAGGCCATGTCATAAATGAAGATGACACATATTTTTGCGTATCATAAATTTAAATGTTAAAAAAAATATTTATATATTTATCATTTTTTAAATTATATTTGCATTTAATGTCTCATAATAGAAATAAAATACCATATACAAAAAATACAATCCATTACATAAAATTTAATGTCATACAATTCTATTTCTTACAATATATAAATTTGCATTCATCTAATCTACTTTGTGTTTCATACAAAAAAATCTATTTCATGCGGCTTCTACCATTTCCTTTATTCGCAGCTTCCATCATTAGTAGTACAACTAACAATTGAAATGAAGAATGCAACACTTGGATTTGCAAAATCTTATCTCTTTCAGCTTGAGCTTTCTTTTTCCTTTTCTAACAATTCAAATGAATATTGTGAAACTTGTATTTCTGCCAACCCAAGAATCAAATTAGTTTGTTTGCATGTTTTAAGCCAAATATAGGAAAGTTGCTCTTATCCAATGATTGGCAATATAGCATAGAAGGGAATTATTTCCACACAAAAAACAACTAATATATATTTTTTTCATATATTTATAATAACCGCCAAAATCTTGTAAAAATCACCTAAACCAACAAACTCATACACATCATAAATATATAAAACAACAAACTCAACAATGGCAATAGCAGTAGCATCAAAGCAGCAGCAAAATCACATATTTATTTTGAAAAAGGTTTTATACTTTATGGGCTAAGACATAAAGGCAGTGCACTTTGCATCAAAATTCCAACAGCAATAGTACAAATACAGCTAAAGTAATAACTACAACAATTTAAATTGAATAAAAAATAGCAACATTGATTTTCAAGAAACAAACCAATGACGTACGTAAGTGTGTGTGTAAGCTTTACCCCCTTCCATGGAGCTTCACCGTTCTCATACTTACCCTGAATCAACAACATTCTAGTTTCAATTATACCATTCTATTTTTATTTCAATATAACATGGGGGTGGGGTTAGTCTCACCTGGCTTTCGTGTGCAGGCTATCACATCAAAACAAATTTTTTTTTGAGATTATAATTTGAAGTTAATTTTAGAAGTCAGAATAAAATAGAATTGATTGACTGACCTTTACACATCGTCGAAGTGCAAAATCCAAACCCCATTCGTGCACCAAATCATATTCTATAACAACATTAGAAAACCAATATTACCATTATTGTTAATGTCTTGTTAAAATATAAGTTGACTATATATTTTTTTATATATCTTTATCTGAATCAAATGCCACACACACCTCCAATGCATGAAAAGACATGAGAGGAAGATAAAAGTAGCAAAAATGAAGATATGGTGATGGGCATGTGGTAAAAAAATATTGTAACTTCCATAAAAACCATGAAAGCAAACTATGTGTACATTTAAAGGACACTTCTTTTACGTGATGTTATTTCATTCACAATTTTAGTTTATAATAATTTTCAAATAAACAGTTAACTATTATTTAGAATCATTTTCAGAGAGAAGGGTAAAACAATAAGTTTTTCTTCATATTTTCATTTAAACCAAAAAAGAAAAGTCCTTTTACCAATGACTTTACGCATACATTACTAGCGGAGAAAAAAAAAACATCCCCTAAAAGTCCATAACAACAATTTCAATTTCAACACACAAGAATCTGGTAATTTTGCTTTTTAATCTCATAAATAAGTCATGCACTATATTGTTTTTCTTGAAAAAATATCGTTGGTTTTTTCTTCAAATAACTGAAACTTTATGTTTACAAAATACCATTATTTTAATAGTTTTCAACAGTGTTTTGTGAATAAAAAAATAAATAGTTGGTTACCAGTTTATGACATTTAAACCTGTTAAAAATACAATAAGCCAATGAAACTAGTATTGGCTGGAAGATAGGTGATAGACTGTTTAGTAAAAGTCACAACATCAATCTCCTTTCCAAGAAGCTGTTCATGAAGCATTTCTAATTCCTCATCCGTTTTATTCATACAATCTGAAGTAAGATCAGCAACAATATATTGTCGCACCCCAAAACCACGAACGGCGGAAACGTTCAGGGGTGGAGGACGTCATGTAGAGTATCACAACAGTGTAATATAATAAACAAGCAACAACATCATCCATTGAATTATAAGTAAAGTTTTAATACATGTGTGTTTCTTTCATGGTAGTAAGACACCAAAAATATACAATCAAAATAAAAGATGAGACTTGTCTGCTCCGTCTTCTCAAAAACCTAGCCTCCGTACCTGTCTACTGATGACCTGAGAGTAAAAGTTATTTTGAAAGAGAGTATCAGCTTTAAAGCTGGTGAATTCATAAGTATATAAGTGTCATTGCCTTGTTTGTGAAAAACTGTTATAAAGGCCATGTAAATCGTTAAATGAAGATGTTTATGTACGTATGAAAACCCTAGAAAAACCCTTATTTTCTATAAGTATGAAATGTAGTCTTCTACCAAGACCCGAATGTTCTGTACGTATGAAGTGTAGTCTTCTACCAAGACCCGAATGTTTTGTAAGTAAAATGATAGGTTTCATTTCTATTGTTTAGTACTGAAGTACTTAGTCTAACTCATCGTTTATGTGAAAGAATCACAAAATAAAGTAAATAGGAAAAATATAATCATGTAAGTATTAACCCTGGGTGACCAGGATTACCACGACATCGCCGAAGCGAAAGGTATACCCGATGAACATCCGAAGATTTTCCACTCACCCTCTGTAGCAGCAGCAGGGTGGAGGGAGGGCTAATCCCATAAAAAGGTTAACCTAATGATCATCCGAAGATTCTCATCTCATCTCCTTTTACAACAGGAGATGGAGGAATGGTTAGTTCCGTAACTGATTCCTAATATAAGTAATAACCGAAGGCATCCGTAGATGTTCATCACCCATTGTTGCTAACAGATGGGTTCCGGAATGGTTAGTCCCGTACGTATATCCCGAGGTACTTTGTGATAGAGGCCCATCTAGGTATCCCGAGGTACTCGGGATAGGGTCCTGTCTAGATATCCCGAGGTACTAGGGATATGCAGGAAGATTTAAACAGAAAGTACTAATAAATCATCCTTGCAATTCGAGATACAAGAATTCATGTTAATGTACATAATTAAGTGTATCTACGTAAAGGTACTCATGTAATGCGTTCATGTACGCGTATTCATGTATCATGTAAGTATATGTAAACGAACTCATGTATCATGTAATCAAATGTAAAGGTACTCATGTATCAGGTAATGTACTGGTATAGACTCATGAATGAACTGACTCTTGTGTGATTCCTTGTAATAGGAATTATGTTTGATATCTCCAAATTTACCCTATGATAATTTGCTGGAAGGTAGATGGTTGTTCAAGTAGGTTTATACACTCTTACTACTCAAGGGTGTGAGAAACTAAAT